GAGACCGCATAAGAAACAACAAATAAAAAAGAATCTTCAAAATCGGTTCACCTGGAGAAAAGTTCTGAGATGACACACATACAAAAAAATACAGTCGAATTGAGAACTTCCTCCTTTTTTGAAGTCGGTTGAAAATAGAAATAACTTTTTAATCAAAATAAAAAAAACCTAAACTCAGGCAATCAGGCAAATATTATGATACATTTAAGTACGCTAGTAATATATAAGTCAATGGTGCAATTGCACTGCTTGGCGGCGGATTTACATAATCACTTATTATGTTTACGTTTTTTTTTTTTATAGAATAAGGGCGACAAACAAGCACAGTCCACTTGATGGTAAGTGGACATTTACATTTATCCTCGATTAAGAATCAAAATGCTTTGCCTTGCGTACATTTTTCCTCGATTAAAAATCAAGATGCGACGTCACCCCTGAGGACTAAGATGGAATGACTTGCGTGGTCATTCCCCGGCCGAGCCAACTCCTTCGTTCGTATTCGCTACAACTTGCTACTCCAGTGATATTGACCGACTGCACACGTCCTAGAAAGTCCATAGGATAAGTCCATACACACATTATGTCCCTACTAAAAAAGTACAAGAAAGTGTTAACAAATAAATTACCAAGGTAAGAATTAGTGAAACCAATATTTTTTACGTTGCGCAGGAGTAGGATTCGAATAGTTACACATGATCTCCAATTACTATATACATGTAGATCTCCAATTGCCAGCGCAATTTTTTAAGTAAATTTTACAATAAAAAAGGTTGTATGGAGAAATTATTTACAAAATTTAATTTAAGAAACAGCTTGGAAGCGACCATCTCATTTCCAGGGGTTATTATCAACCATGTATTCATTTATATTATAATAACCCTTTTTATACAGTTTTTGTTTAATAAAATATTTAAACTTGGTAAAAGAAAGACGTAGTATATTTTCTGGAACTTTGTAGTCTACTGACTCTGTGGAGTCGAGAAACTGGTATCACTAGCTTGAGTTTCTTTAAAATGTTCTGTAAAAGACTATGTCGGTTTTAGGTTCCTCTACAAAACAAAGATAGTTTCTAAATCAGCTACATTTCTCTATAGCAAAATTCCATAATTTAGCGGTCTCCACACTAGTGAGACCTTAATCTTTTCTACAGCTTAAGCTACAGAGCTTAGTCTAGTTTGGATATACATGGGGGCCCCACTGAAGCTTTGCCTTGAAAGTAATGTCAAGTAAAACAGTGGATTCATCAGGGCTCAGTTCTTTCCTATTTTAAAAACACATTGGTGTTCAGATTTTTAACATTCGGTGTTGTAAATTTAATACATTTAGTTTTATTACCGTTTAAATGTAGATTATTAACGTTAAACCAATGCACTAATTTTGATATAACATTATTCACTTCATCACATTTAAATGATTGACGTTTGAGTTTAATAATGATTATCCCCACAGGGGAAAACAAGTCATTAACATACACTAGAAATAGGAATGGGCCAAGAGTTGAGCCTTGAGGAACACCCAACAGTACAGATGACCCGGAAAGGCTGTTACTATTTATAATAACTTACTGCATTCTATTACTACACAATGAAATAATAAGTTTAAGCGCTGTGCTCTTGCCACCACAGTACTTTAGCTTCCAGATTAATGTCTCATGGTGAAAACGTCGAAGACCTTTTAAAGTTTACAAAATGTACCCAAAGCATCCTCTGAATTCTCCCATACATAAAAAATATGTTTAATAAACTCAACACCGGCGTCAGTGGTCGGGTGACCCCTTGTAAATCTAAACTGATTTTTACGACGCAATTAAAAAAAACTTACCATCTGATCTAAAATAGTTGTATCAAAAATTTTACTGAATGTTCGTAGTTCAGAAATCGGTCTAAAATTGTCGGGGTCTAATGTACTACCAGATTTCAATAAAGGTATGATTTTGATATGTTTGGGACCATCCATAAATTACACCAAACATTAAGAGGGGGGGGGGGGGCAACAAAATGCCAGATTTTGTTGCCCCTTGTCACATGCTAATGTTGCCCCTTGTCACATGTTATTGTTGCCCCTTGCCCAATGTCACATGTTAAAATGTAAAATACAAAAACGCGTTTATATGTAAACCAAAAACAAAAATATTACTCAGTTGATTTTTTGATTGCACGCCCTCTATCCAACTGTTTATCGTTTTGTCCATTACTTAAAATATTAGACTTTATTTTGATTTTATTAAAGGTTATTTTTGAAAGGTTATTTCTGAAATATAAAATTGAAAAATATGTGACGTTACATCAGTTAAAAGCCATAAAATTAGTGTGACGTAATTTATAGATATAGAGCCGTGGTAGCTCAGATAGAGCCGTGGTAGCTCAGATGGTTAACGCTCACTGTAAATATAACAGAACGCAAGTAACCCTGGTTCGATCCCCGCTGGCGTCAACGAAATTGATAAGTGCTTAAAACACCGTGAGGAAACCTGCATGTCTGAGGAATAAGAAAAAAATGTTTCGAAGACATGTGAAGTTCGCCAACACGCATTGGGGCAGAGCGGCAGACACTTCCTTGCCCTAAAACCCTCTCTTCGAAATGAGGGGAGGCCTGCGCGCAGCAGTGGGATGTATATAGGCTGTAACTTTACTTTTTAACTTTTAATTTATAGATGGCCCCCTTTATTAAATCAGGAAACACACCAGATTCAACGCTTGTATTAAAAGTAGTTGCTAGATAAGGTACTATTGTATATATTATAGATGCAATAACAATAACAAATAAACTAATCTGCATTCGCCCTAGAGAAATTAAAAAAAAATTATTTACGAGGTAGATCCATACTGCAGCTATATTAGTAGTATAGTTGTAGCACGAATGGGTCGACTCGACCGGGGAAGGACCACGCTCTCACAGATACCAGCGTGAAATAGCAGATTAATGCTGCTGTGTTTCGTATGATGAGTGTAGAGAACCGGAGACCCTTTTTTACTGGAAAGAGGCATTCCACCTTAGTCTTCACGGTGGCAACGCATTTGCATTTGGATTCGTAATCGAGGATAGACGTACATGTCTGTGGGCCACATCAACCCCTTACCATCATGTGAACAGTGTGCTTGTGTGTTTGTCACCCTTCTATAAAAAATATATAAAAAGCCATATTTGGTCCATGCATCTTACCCATGCTTTGTGGTATTCCCAATATTGTGTGGGACGGCTATTTTCAGCAATAGACCTGTGTAATAATGACGATAATGGTACATATTACTACAATTTTTAGGCTTATTTATTATATTAGACGAATTAATAGTGCTAGACTAAGGACACAGACCCTTGGTATGTTCCACAGACTTGATCACCAACTATCAGGTATTATTACTGTACTGTTAATATCTTTGTAAAATCAAGTTTTAGACATAATCACTCGTACAACCCTTAGCACAACACGCTATTTTTAGTCACACATCTACACACCTGGGGACCTATGTTCCCCTTGAACATAAACCGTATATCAGTACTATTTTGATTATAAGGTAGGAATTCTTTTTACGAAATAAATTAAAAGCATTTTATGAATGTAATAAGAATATTAATTTAAAATATAAGGCTTAAAAATTACCTCTTCGAGTATCGAACAAAGAAGGATACAAAAACACGTTATATTTTTAAATTTGATATTAGAGATCAAATATGCAATAAAATTTCGAATCAAAAAACAAAAAAATTGTTTTTCTAATTTAATACATCTAATAATAATCTTATACACTATAATACAGGTGTAAAGATCTATGAAAATACTAAAACATCTAAAATCACTAGGGGAATGCCTTAACACTTTGCGAGTATCAAAAGTTTAGTCAAATGTAGGAACCTAATTTCGGTCTCGATCTTTACAATCAAAATGATGCTTATAACGTAATTATCAGTTTCCCTGACATTTTGTATATATTTTAGGTCTACAGAATAAATAAAATATACGTTATTCATACATTTGGAGCACTCGTTTAGTAAGTATAAGCTAAGTCGGATGTATAATTTTCTGAGTAATGTGTGATCTTTTCATTGGTATTCTAAAATCAAGTCAATCACATCAGAAAAAACCAAGCATCAAATTAAGACATTTCGTTCTTGGCTCGAGCAGGAGCCGATGTTGACCGGTGGTATTTTCGACCGTTAATATCAATTTATTCCATAAAATGCATAAGTTTTTCGGTCTTCTTGTTCATAATTTTCTACTTCCTCTTTTTCTGAGCCACTCTTCGTTTCTTCTTTACTTTAAGTGTCATGATTACTGACTTCATACTCCGCGTCACTAAAATCCGATAATCCGATAATGCTTCAGGAAAAATATCCTTAATTTGGTTTTCCTCCGATCCGAAGTCATTCAACACATTTTCTATCTACTGGGGATTCAAATTTTTATCCATAATACGTACTATGGATAAAAAATTATTTTAGATATACATATACTTTAGATATATTATAGCATAGATTTTAGATTTAGTAGAAAAAAGAAACAAAATATAAGTAAGGAAATGGAAAAAAAAAATAATACTTACGTAATTACGCCTTTGTCCCGTATAGACTCGTACCTCTTGAACTAAGCGTGCTAGTAGGGAAGGCACGTCCCCTACCCGCGAGTCCTTGGAAGGCACTGGGAATACTTGGACCCTCTACCACGTTACGTTTAAAACAATTTAAATATTTACGAAAATATGTTAGCTAGATCACCCACCTGTGGTGTGAAGGGTTAAAATTGTTCGTCATCATCATACAAACAATAAAACACGAAGTACCTATAACATGAACTATCTTTTTTAAATAAGCACGTCGCATGTTTTTTACTTGGAACATTAAACAGGATATTGTCTTGTTAACAATGAAGTACTTTGGTTCTAGAATGTTATTAAAATAAAAGCTACTACAAATTGGGCACGCGACCGGTATCGGCCACTTTGTCAATGTCGACGAGCGACTCTACAGTAATCGCCAGGGAAATGATGAAGAGGAAATTATTAATGGCGCTCACCATATTGTCGCTTTCTACTGCCGCGATGGATCATTCCAGAATTCATAAGGAAGACGTGGATAGAGGTTATTCAAGTAACGAGGAATTTACTAACCACAAAGAAAAGAATAATTACGTACCCACACTTACAACACTCTCTTCGAGAAATGAAATAGCTGTTGAAAAGTTTGTGGACACAATGATATCGAGTGAACACTATTTGAAAAGGATTCTAACGATCGAAGGAAAACTAACACATCTAAATTCGCTTTTCCATAACAAAACAAATATAATTCTCAAGTATCTTTCTGAAGTTATAAGATCGGTGAATTCCTCTCCTGTTCATGTGATGGAGAGGGCCGTGGAGTCTCTGAAGGAAGATTTTAATAAAATAAAACATATGTTGAAGCAAAGAGTACAAGGCCATCCGATACGTCGAGGTAATTTTATTGAACATAGTTAATTTTGTTAAAGAGACACATATTTTATATTTCCGACGGCTCCGTGGCGCAGAAGCTTAACAATAAGTCATAGCGCTGAGAGCCGCGGGTTCGAATCCCGCACGGAACAATTATTTCTATGGCCTATAAGTAATTGTTCCGGATCTGGATGTTTGTACTTGTGTAATTTATGTATGTAAACTGCCTCCACGATACACGAGAAAAACCTAGTATGAGGGGAAAGTGTTAAAAGAACACATATATATATATATATATATATATATATATATATATATATATATATATATATATATATATATATATATATATAAATATATATGTTAATATTTCGAAGACATGTGAAGTTCGACAACCCGCATTTGGGCAGCGCGGCGGACACTTCCTTGCCCTAAACCCTCTCAGAAATGAGGGGAGGCCTGAGCCCAGCAGTGGGACGTATATAGGCAGTAACTTTACTAACTTTACTAAATATATATATATGCTCAATTTTATGTTTAGTACCACTACTACTAGTACACAAACAAAATATTCAACGCTAATTATGAATTGACCCGTTGATACATGTTTATATTTTTAGAAATCCATACTTAAAACTCGAAACGGAACCACGGAGTTTGTTCGTTGTAGGTTTTCTACATATTATAGACTTGGACATTTTTCCAGTGATTGGTGATTATTGCTGCTTGCAATTGCAATTTGGCACGAGTGTAGAATTTTTTTACTTGGATATTTCTGGTGAAATAATTTCGAATTTTTTATTACATAGTAGCGATCTGCCCCGGCTTCGTACAAGTGACGAGTGATATCTGAATTCTACAACAGTGTCACCTGTCGGATCGAACTATGCTTTTAACCTTCGCGGAAGTGCAAGCAATATGTTGACATAGTTTTACCGCAATCTGAAGAACGGTATGTCAGAGCATAAAAACGAACAAACAATAATTATTTTTCTTATGTTAGAGATAAGATTACACTAGTTTGTCGCATGACATGACCCCCTCTTATTATTAGAGATGGGCCGAATATGGATTTTACCGAATACGAATATTCGGCCGAAAGTTCGGTAAAACTTTTACCGAACCGAATATTCGGTCCAACATTATTCGGCAGGATCACCTTGATAGCTAACAAATTTATGTCGAAACTTGTTGCCGAAGCGCGAGGGATTAGTGCCGGAACCTGTCTCTCGTTCCCCCGCTACACCAGAGATGTTATTACATCATCTAGTACTGAGAAAATTGCCGGCACATGCTTATGTTTTGACTATTTTGCTGGCAAAAAGTATTTCGTTGTGTTATTCTAAGTGAAAATTGGTAATTATATGATAAAAATAAGTGGCAGGTGATCTACTATTGGAAAATAAAGTGAAATGTACTTATGTTATGAAATTTTTATTTGTTTGATTCCATAAATATTTTATCAAGCTTTCTATTTGCTATAATTGCAAATAAATCTACAGTGCCTCAAAGTGGACACAACCCTTAAACGAATGTTCGATGATTTAGCCGTGTATTCGGCAAAGCTGCCGAATATCGAATATGAAACGGATATTCGGCCCATCTCTTATTATGAGATCGCATAATACAGAGAGCTCAATCTATCATATAAAAATTTTCTCGTATTTCGGAATTAATGATGATATTTTATTATTTTAATACAAAAGTTATTTTTATTTTTCTCCATATAAATTTAAACAGCCTCTGGCCACCGTGGTTGTTTTGAAAAATCACAAATTACGTGTACATTAATTATTTTCACAGAATACTTTTAGTAAGATTCGAGTCAATCGCGATGTAAAATGATAAGTTTCCTACAAACTGTAACATCTTATTTGGCCCTCTTAAAAGGTGAACTTTCCAAAATCCCTTAGTAGATTCTTGTGTCATAAAAGGCACCATATATGTCCAAATTTCAGATTTCTACGTGTAGTCAGTCACTCAGGACAACTTTTATATGAAAATATATATAAACATTATATACATTGGCTTGTTTTAAAAATTAAAAATACATTCTTCTCTTATGTTTTTGGTTGAATTACCTGCTTTGTGACCGTAAATCTCAGATCACAAATATCGTTTCATCCATAACGTTGGATTTTGTAATCTAAGAGAGCTATAAGTTTTTGTAAATTACAGTAATCTTCGTTACTATGTTTGTGTATATTTATATTACAGTCGGAACCCTAGGTGTTGAAGTAAAACACACGCACTTGATAGGTTGTTAACGATATAAAAGTAAAGTAAAGTTACAGCCTATATAAGTCCCACGGCTGGGCTCAGGCCTCCCCTCATTTCTGAGAGGGTTTTAGTTTTCAATGCGTGTTGGTGAACTTCACATGTCTTCAAAATATTTTTTTCTTATATCTCAGACGTGCAGGTTTCCTCACGATGTTTTCCTTCACCGCCGAGCACGTGGTAAATCAGCACTTAAAATTACAATTAAAAATTTCATTGGTGCCGGCGGGGATCGAACCCGGGTTACTCGCGTACTGTTATATTTACAGCGAGCGTTAACCGTCTGAGCTACCGCGGCTCAGATGGTTAACGATTTTAATTATACTTTATCAGTATAAGGCAAGATAGAAAATGCATTTATTTGTCATCCAAGATAATAATCGATATAATTGGCTTTAACACAGCCGAAGCAAAATTTGGGGAAATTGGGGGATAAGTCGCTCGCGTCCGTAGGCTTCGACCACCTGTTCCTAGGCCCACCCTACACGTGCCCCCCGGGTGGTGCTAAATGAGCGACAAGCCAATATCACAGACTCGGCTCTACGCCGTAGTAGAGGCGTTAAATATACCACCCCATTTCGCACGATGAGGAGTCGAATTAAAGAAATGGCCCCGAGTTCTCGGCGCCCCTTTAATGGGGCAGGGGTGCGAAGAATCTTCGGGAGGAAAACCGACGACGAGGTTCGCCACCCGTCACGTTCTGTCTCTCGGAGAGGCGAAAAGTGGATTGCAGAGGCCCGTCTGGCTACGTTGAATGTATGTGGGGCAATGAATGATAAAATGGATGAAGTATGCGATATGATGTATGATAGAGGAATAGATGTGTTATGCGTAAATGAGACGAAAAGGAAGGGGAAGGATGTCACTACACATGGCATGTATACCGCATACTGGTCTGGTGTAGACGAGATCGAGCGGGCATGCCAGGGAGTAGGTATCATCCTTTCAGAAAGAATGGGCCAATGTGTGAAAGAGTATGAATGTGTAAGCCCAAGACTGCTATGGATACGAATGAAAGTGGGCTTAAAGAAGTTGTTTGTGTTAGGGGTCTACGCCCCAGACATGTCTAAGCCCACTTATATCCGAGAGCAGTTTTGGGAAATGGTAAGGATGGTGTTAATGAAGTGTAAGGAAAATGAAAATATTATTATGCTAGGAGATTTTAATGGAAGGGTTGGGGTCAGTAGGCTTGGTTATGAAAGGATATTGGGAACGTTTGGTGATGAAAGTATAAATGAGAATGGTGAAAGTCTCCTCACCGTATGTATGGAAAAGAATCTTTTTGTGACGAACACTTGCTTTCGCCACAAGAGGATTCACATGTATACTTGGGAAAGAGGTGACGATAGAAGCACGATAGATTTCGTAATTGTGGATGAAAGATTGAGGGGCGCAGTGGTAGATACGAGAGTTTACCGGGGTTCTAACGTAGGGACGGATCATTATTTAGTTTTATGCCGAATTAATGGTCTATTCAGGCGTTGGCGCCATCGATCGTCTGTGTCTACCACTGAACAGAAAGGTTACAAGATGAAAGTGATAAAAACAAGTTCAAATGTAGACTGAAAGAAAATATAAGTGGTTTGGATGAATTATGTATGAAGGAGTTAGACTTGGAGAATATATGGCAAAATGTAAAGAAAAGTTTAGTGGATGCAGCTACCGAAGTATGTGGTATTAGTAAGAGAAAGAATGAAAGGAAAAATAATACGTTATGGTGGGATGATGAGATACGTATGGAAGTTGAAGCAAAGAAGAGAGCATGGCTAGATTTACTAGCAACAAAGGCTGCTAACTCTAGAGGTACGAATGGTGATATTGAAAGAAAAAAGGCAGTCTTTAGACATCTTAATAAGAGAGTAAAAGAAGTAGTTGAAAGAAAAAAGCAAGAAAGAACGAATAAGAATGATAGAAGAATATCGGATAACTTCCAGGCAAATATTAAAATGAACTGCCATGGGACATTCAAAACAGCCTATGATGAATGCTATAAGAGACGAGAATGGCTATATTCTGAATGATGAAGTTTTGAGTTTAAAGAGATGGAAGGAATATTTTGAAAGCGTGTTCATGAGTGAGGAGACAACGTGTGTACTAAGTGAAGTAGAAACACCGAAAGAAGAGGAAAGAGGTAGCGAGATAAGTATAGATGAAATAATGAAAGCAATGAAAAGCATGAAAGCAGGTAAGGCTGCCGGATATGATAGAGTTTCACTCGAAATGCTAAGGGCTGGAGAGGAAGTGGTGGCAGGCCTGCTGCACACCTTGTTTAATTTATGCTGGGAAATGAAGCGGGTACCGGTAGACTGGTGCAAAGCCGTGATAGACCCAGTATATAAAGGAAGAGGGTCGCAGCAGGACTGTAAAAACTACCGTGGCATCAGCCTTCTTAGCATTTTGGGAAAACTGTATGCTAAGGTACTGATTGAAAGGGTCATGAAAGAAACTGATGGAAAAATTTGGGAAGTGCAATGGGATTTAGAAAGGGAATGGGATGTACAGATCAAGTCTTTTCCATGCGCATGATCGCGGAGAAGTTTTTGGCCAAAAACCAAAAGGTTTTTTGTGCGTTCATGGACTTGGAAAAGGCCTATGACAGAGTGGATAGGGATTTGCTATGGCAAACACTGAACTCATTTGGGTTGAGCGCTGGCTTGATACAGGCATTGGAGTCTCTTTATGGGGACTCTAGTGCTTGTGTTAGGATCAACGGGGTCTACTCGGACTGGTTTGACATCCATAAAGGTGTCAGACAGGGCTGTGTGGCT